CATCGGCGAAGGATCCAACGTGACTTCGCCTTCGCGCAACCCGGAGATTGACATCATCTTCTTCGGGAAAAAGGTTGCTGAGGAGGTGGGATTCGACAAGATCCGGCGCCAGCTGTCAAAGGTTGAGGACCTGAGGATCGTCATCCTGGATGGCATGCGGATTGCGTGGGACGTCATGTTCGAGGATGGCGGTCGCGGAGTCAAAGACACCAGCCCTTTGATTTTCGAGCTGGATCTGAGTAGGAACTTGTTTGAGAGTTTTGGGACGGTCGTCAGGATCTGTCGAGAGTTGGAGGGGCTGAAGAGTCTGCGGCTCAAGTAAGCTTCTACTGTCATTTTCGCCCGCGATGCCTTTCAAGGGCCAGTACTGACTCCGACTCGCAGCGGCAACCGGTTTCAGATCATCCACCCAGAGTCGGAACCTACGATCAGGAGTGCCCTCGAAGCCTTCAAGGAAGTCAAGGAGCTCGAGCTTGAAGAAACCCTGCTTTCCTGGGAGAGCATCTGCGAGATCGCATCGAATTTTCCAGTACTCGACCGGCTCAGTGGCAGCCTCAACCATTTCACTTCAATTCCCGAGGCCAATCTTTCTACCTTGGCGTCGACTTTGACGACCGTTGACCTTGAATACAATGAATTGACATCCCTCGCAGACATTGCCCCCCTCGCCTCCCTTAAAGCCCTCCGAATCCTACATCTCAAGGGCAACAGCATTTCCGCCATCCGATCGCACCCGGACGCGCCTCCGCCCATCTTCGCGCCGTCCCTCACCTACATTGATGTCTCTTACAACGCCATCTCTTCCTGGTCCTTCATCGACGCCCTGCCGACATCCGCACCGAGTCTCACAGCCCTCCGCCTCTCCAACAACCCCCTCTGGGCGAACCCCGTTCCCGGTGCCGCGCGCCCTGCAGGAGACGACCAAGACGCCGCTGCCAGGACAACGGACGAGGCGCACATGATCACCACGGCCCGCCTTCCCTCGCTCAAGACGCTCAACTTCGCCACCATCACGCCTCAGGACAGGACGAACGCGGAGCTCTTCTACCTCTCAGCATCGCGAAGCAGCTCGCCGCTGCGCCGGAGGAGAACGAGGCGCGCGTGCTGGAGCAGCACCCGCCGCTGTTTTGGGGCGCTGTGCGCCTTCTACGGCGAGCCCGACATTGTGCGCCGCGATGAGGTGGACCCGTCTTTCCTGGAGGCGAGGGTCGTGCGCGTACAGTTTGTACCCGGGGCTGGCGTGGCGGCGCAGGAGACGGAGACGGAGATCCCCAAGTCGTTTGATGTGTACGCTGTCAAGGCGATTGCGGGCCGGATGTTTGCAGTGCCGCCGCTGGCGATCAGGCTTGTGTGGGAGACGGGGGAGTGGGATCCTGTAGGTGGGTTTGACGAGGAGCTCGGTGATAGCAGTGATGAGGAGGGCGAGGGCTTGGAGGCCGACCTGGCGGTGGAGATTGAGGCGGCCAAGGGGTTTGGAGAGGATGTTGAGCTGAGGAAGGGGGGCCGGTGGGTGAAGAGGGAAGTGGAGCTTGCGGACGGGCCCCGGCAGTTGGGATTCTGTGTTGATGGGCTGTCAGCAAGGATACGGGTGGAAACTCGGCAATAGAGCGTCTGTTGGGCTTGCTGATGCTGGAAGCGGCTCACCGTACATGATGGCGGACAATCATGGTGGCACACACGGGGACAAACTTGAATGATGATTATAAAATGCTTCTGCCTGCTCATCCGTGGCGTAGAGAAGGGCGATTCACTTGCTTGGACTTTCTTGATCATGTTCGCTGGGGGCTGTATATTTTAGACCTGTTCCTGGCATTCCGTTCAGATTCGACAAGGACATCATGTCCAACGTAGAGCCTCGAAGGGCTCCATGGCATCGTCGACCCAGGGTTGGCCTCCAACACTCAAAGCACAACCCACGAAACGTGGATGTCTCCAATGGGGCTGTCATCGACTCGACACCTGATACTCGAACAGATGAAGTCCACAACAAACAAAAAACGACACATGCTTCAAGTCACCAGGCTCAAGATCGCAAGGCATCTCTTGAGGCCTTGGTGATACAGAAGCCGCCTGCTCGACAGCCCACACCGGCCGTTTGCAACAAGCCCGTGCCGGGAATCATCGGCATCAAACCTGCTGTCAACGAGGACCAGAGCCTCAATATCGATGCGAGTCTCCGTCCCACGTACTTTCTCATGCGCCCAGGGCCAGGCCATACCCGATGCATCGTGCCACTGATCCCTCTTGATCTCCTGCCACAGCACATAAACATTACCGGCCTGCCACGATATTTGTCTCCCGCCCAGACGAGCCGCATGTCCAGCGTTGGCACATACGCAAAGGCAGAAAATACGCCTTGCTACGAGCTAGACATAGGACAGCCCAGTGACACCGACGAAGGGCTCACTAGAGAGGAGACTGTTCAGAGTGCCAATGCCAGCCCGGAACGCGTGCTAACTGAGGAGATCCCTCGCATCGTACTCAATCCAGTCGTCTCTTCAGGTGGTAAGCCCTCGCCGCCTTTACTCGCGTTCGAAGCGGGCACTGCCGCCACTTCAGCGCACCACCACCACCGTCACGCCCAGTCGGCGAAGCTCAAGGCAGGACGCGGGAATTACTGTCGTCACTACTGCCACCATGGGACCTGCAAGTGGGGATCACGCTGCCGTTACCAGCACATAATGCCGAGCACGTCTTCGGGACTGGCGGAGGTTGGACTCAAGAACTTTCCGGCTTGGTACCGCGCTGTACTAGTCAACCTGCAAAGTGCTGGCAGAATGCATTACCACCACGAGATGCAAGCTGACAAAGTGGAGGGGCATGAGAGAGGACGATGGGTGGGACAGGGCATGGCGGAGCACCAGACTAGAGGCGGGAATGTGGAGGTGGAGCGTTTGAGGCAGGAGACGAACGGCTATTGTGCTACGAGCGTCGCAGGAACGGTGCACCAGAGCCTGGCTCAGCAGAGACTGGTTGACTTGGACTAGAAGCTGCCACATACGGGCCTGGGAAGGGGGCTCAAGTATCTTGGACATGTTCAGAATCACAAGCCATGCTGCTCGATAGGAAGTACACGCAAAGCTTGTCGTTTCGGACCACTGGCACCAATCTTGCTGGGAACGGCATTGAGCCTCGTCGTATTACAGCCACCGCTTATGTCCGCCAACATCTCCAAGCCGGCGCACCCCAGAACTTAATCCCTTATGGCCCTTTTAACCAGCCAAGCGGCTACCGAATCGATATGTCCAGTAATGAACGGGTTCTGTTTGTAATCTGATCATGTTGTGACACGTCGTCATCCTCTCTTCAGGCCAGTGGTGTGTTTCGTTGACAGTGCAAAATGGAGTTTACCACACCGACGACATTTAAGTCCGGGCCTCCGGCGCGGATCTAGGGCAGTGTCAAACAAACCCGACCGGCCTACTCGGCCGGCTACCGGCGATTAAGCATTGGGCGACCATATGACGCACATGATCAATGAAAACATCTCGATGGCGTTGAGGCTCGAACGGAGGCCGGAACTAAGAAGTAGTGATGAGAGTGGTACCGATATTCTGCATGGTAAGAAACGCTTCATCGCGATGCAACACGAATTTGGATGTCGCATTTTGGGTGGACTCCCCAGGACCA